GGGGTCCACCTCATGTGAGAGGGTGGACACCTTTATGTACAAGAAATTATGTACAAGTAGCTTTATCCAATTTAGAATTCCTAAAATTCAATTCAAACACAATCATAGAAATTCTGCAATGACATATATGGAATTGATTTTCTCACCCATGTGGGACGGTGTGTTGCATCAATAGAACTCTGGTCAAAAGTTCCTTTTCCCGCAATGCCTTTGTGCCACACCCTTTTAGGAGATGTTCACCAACAAAGTGTTTGGAAGAGATTTTTTTTTAAGTGAAAATTAGAATTATATGCAATTAAAAGGTATGGAAAAATTATGAATATCATAAAATGTATTATAAAAGACTTTTTTAAATACAAATCTCTCACAATCATACCTTAAAGCTACAATTTATTCCACAATATCAATTATAAAACATTTCAATTTTATTTAATATTGTTGTACATCCTTTTAAAATTATTTTAGGTAATTTTTTTCAAAACTTTTATTTGACTTTAATTTTTTACTATGATATCATTTCTACAACTCATTTCTTTTGGCCAATGAATAATTACTATGAAAAATATTGTTTATGTCCAATTTAATGCAAGTTTGATGAACAAGAAGAAGATGAAATGCAAAATAGAGACTCCATTAGTGAGTGGTACTACTAATGCATAATTTTGGACCATAGAGAGTTGTGATGATTAAGAAGGAGAATGATATATTACAATTTAGGAGAGGTACTAGAAATGTTCAAATGAAATAGAGAGCTCGAGGAGGAGGATTTTATATCAGACGATACAGAAGATGAATTAGATGGAGAAGAAGATATTGAACTGGAGTCCAATAAAAAGTTAGATAAGATTTAAGTTATGATGATATCTACATTTGTTAGAAACTTTGAAAGTATGTATGAGATTTTTTTTAAATCTATTAAATAGGAATTATGGAGTTAAAAGTTGAAACTATAAAAAATAGTACAAGTTTGGCATTTCGAAAACAGAAAATGTTCCCCAACATAGCGTAACTTCTGAAACAGTTAGAAAGCCCCATTTGGCTGTGAGGAGTGAGGACTTAGAACATGTTTGACAACCATTAATTTATTTTATGATTTGTTATATGATCACTTTTAATTATATATTCACACAATAAAATATTCTACATATATACTCAAAATATTTATTTACTTTTTTAACCACACATCTCGTAAAAATTACTATGCAAATTTTTATTTTTTATTTTTAAATAATGGTTGTGAAACCGGCACTTGGTAAAAAAACCCCACCCGTGAGTTTAGCCTAACCCGCCATTCCCATTTTCTCTCTCACTGTTACTCCGTCTACCCTTTAAAAAGAGCAGAAAGCGGGAGTTGCAGATAAAAGCACAAGTGTACAAAAGAGAATGAGAACCACTTTGAGAGAGAGAGATCTGAACCAAATGTAAAGTAAATAAAGTATGTGTCTATGAGAGAGTGTGTGTGAAGAGGTACCGGAAAATAATGTCAGGAATGATGCAGGAGCAGAATTTGGAGAAGCAGATAGGGAAACAAATGGGTTGTATGGCAGGTTTTCTTCATCTCTTTGACTGTCACCACATTTTGACGGGAAAACGCCTCTACTCCACCACCAAACGCCTCCCACCATCCACGGTAAGATTTCCCATTATCTATTTGATTTGTTATATGTAATCAGATTTCCGTAATACTTAGAACTGTGGGGGTCTTTTTTTTGTGTTCTTTTTGAGGCTGTTGATTCTTCGCCGAAGCAAGAAAAATCGGCTGGTTCGTCGCCAGCATTATCGAGGGAGTCGAAAAATCCGGTTGTACCAGTGGCGGAGGTCCGATCACCTGCGGCAGCGACGGAGTTACCGCCTAAATCACCACTTACACTCCCTGTGTTTGAATTGAAAGAAGGTTCTAAGTCCTCATGGAAATTCTGTAAAGAGACCGCGAGGCTGTCACTGGACAGCAGAGCCACTACTGACGCGAAAGGCAGTCTGCATCCAAGAGAGATCCGCACAAATGCATCCATTCTATCTCCGGTGAATACAGATAATGGAGCCGCCGGTGGCCATCAGCACCGGTCTCGAAGTGTCATTGCCAGACTCATGGGGCTGGAGCCCCTATCAAATTCGTCAAATCCAGAGCCTGAGAAAAAAGTGGAGCTACGAAGATCTAATTCGGAATCGAGAGTCCAAATCGATGGCAAATTTTTTCACTTCAAACCGCCAAATCAGGCCCATTCCATTGTGCAGGACAATGCGGTGTTTGAGACTCCACGTCATGCAGATCCAATCAGGTATTCATTCAAGAGTAAGAAAACTGAACAGCCTAAAGACTTGATTAGAGAGGTGAATTTATCGCCATGGAAAACTCCGACTCCCCGCAAAGGTTTCTTCGACTCGACGGACATTTTTCCCGAGCCAAAGCGGACGATTTCAATCGAAGGAGAGATTGAGAAGAGATTAAGGATGAGAGGAATCGACGAGACTTCTAAAGATTTGGAAACGTTGAAACAAATTCTTGAGGCTCTGCAACTCAAAGGACTCCTCCATTCTAAGAAGCTTTCGGAGCAAAATCAACTCAGTTATCGGAACTTCGTCTATAATGAGTCTCCATTAACTAAGCCTTCGAGATCAACACCAGTGTATCACATCAACCGAAGAATGGGGAATAATACTTCGCCATTGAGTTATAGAAATCAAGCGAGACGAAATCTCAACCTTGCAGGGCGAGAGCACAATGTAGGAAGTCCAACTAGAACTACAAGAAACTCGAGCTCGCCGACGAGGAGTGAGAGTAATGGAGGTGTGAGGCGTTCAAATTCACCTGTCAAACCTCGGCCACTGAGCGTTGAAACTCATCGGAGAGTGAAGGAATCACCGGAAAACCGAAGAGTCTCTCCCATTCAGTCACCGAAGCTCACTACACGGAGAACCGGACCGGATCCAACGGTCACGATCCAATCACCAAGGAACAAGAAACCAATAACCGAGATTCATCAAACGGAGAAGATCACAACCATCGTTGTTACCGAAGATGAATCGTCCTCCATTTCTGAAAGCACCGTCAGTACATCTCTTCCTACCGATAAGGAGGTACAATCAATTTCATGAATGCGTTAATTCTTGTTTATCATCTCAATCAAAAAATTTAAATAGTCATATCTATTAATTAAAATTTTAATCGTTTCAGGCTTTACACATGCACACTTTTTTATAGAACTTCCCCAATTTCCAATTCCATGAACTAGTATATAAATAAAATTAGTTTTGATAGATTATGAATGAATGTTTGTGGAAATGGCGAATTGCAGATGTCGAAAATGGAGGATTACAAAGAAGGGAAGAGTTTGTTGGAGAGGTGTGATAAGCTACTTAACAGCATTGCAGAAATTACTACAACCGATTTGCAACCGAGTCCAGTGTCCGTCCTTGATTCATCATTCTACAGAGACGAGCCGTCTCCTTCACCAATCGCGACAAAACGAAGCATCAACTTCAAAGGTACTCTCTCATATTTTGTACACTTGTATTTGTTGCACTCAACCGAACTCAATGACCGATATACTATTAGCATTGTGACGGCAGTTTAGTTCGCGGCGTGTATATTATGCTAGATTTAGTTCCGTGCTCTGAATGCAATTTGAGCGATTGAAAACATTTCCCCGATTCTGAAAACAATTGGAGACAAGTCCAATCAGTAGTTGAGGTTAGCTGAACAAAACCTGTAAGTCAAGAGAATTATGCTGAAGTGCCCGAACATGGATGACCGACCCTCACATTGCGCGTGGGTCCTGAGTGAATAAAATAATGTCCGACTCCGAGGTGTGTATTCGGTCATCCAAGATGTCAACCAGGATGTTAGTGTAGCATGGTTCCCGTCCAATTTTTATTTTGTCATTCGAATCCTCTAATTCGAGGTTTGTAGCATTGAATCATGACATTAGAATCTTTGGGCTGAGAACTTTTTGGGTCTGAAATTCGTTTTGCATTTGTAAGTGTAATCTTCAATTTAAAATCTATGATTTGATCTAGTTTGATAAATCCCGGTATTGAATCTGTGTGTCAGATCAACAAGGTGAATCGGAAGAAGATATTTGGAGCCCGGATATTTCACCAATTCAGTCGAAATGCAAAGTTATATCAGAAGAATCTGATTTGTTCTATATTTCAGACATCCTCAGAGCTTCCCAGTTCCTCCCTGAGGACTCTGATATCTTTCTATTACTAGAGAAGCAACAGTATCTCAATGGAAAAGACACGTCCAAAGTTTCGAGACTTCAAAGGAAGCTCGTTTTTGACACGATCGGTGAAATTCTTGGCCGGGACAGGCAGTTGCCTCCATGGAAGGCAGTTTCTTGGACGAATATTAGTATTGAACAGCCCTCCCTCGAAAAGATTTGGTCAGAATTCCAGACAATCCGGGAGCATGAATGTACTGGTGACTTGTTAGATATCATATGTGGCGTTCTAAAGAAGGACCTAGCCAGGGATACCATTAATGGTTGGGAAGATTGTCCGGTCGAGATGTCCGAAGCCGTTTTGGACATCGAACGACTTGTTTTCAAGGATTTGATTGGCGAAACAATTCAAGATCTCGCAACATTGGTTTGTAAAAGCACATTATCGCTTACCTCTAGTAGGAAGTTGGTTTTCTAATGGATGTGCCGTTAATGATTACATCTAACTACTCGTATTCAAGGATTAGATCCAAGATCTCACTGCATTTGTAAGGCTTGCTTTCTGTCACATTACTTAGTACTACTGTTCGCTAGCTTTTAAAAAAGAGAGAGAGAGAGGTTGAGAATTTTTTTTTCTTTTTCATGTTAGGTGCATGTCTGGAGGAAATCATGGTTTGTGGTGTGATTAAATAATTTAAGCAATTACATTTGGGTAAAGGAAAAGGTGATGGAGAAAGGACATGTTTTAGGACTAAAGTCCAAGTTTAATTTGTGTGATTGATGTTTTCAATTTATTCACTTTGGCCTTTCGCTCTGAAATTGACGCCACGTGGGATGATCACCAAATCAGTGGTTGACTATCATATTATTCAAAACTTGAATTGTAATTTTACATATTGGAGAATCTCGC